CAGGACTAAACCAGGACTAAACCAGGTCTAAACCAGGTCTAAACCAGGTCTAAACCAGGTCTAAACCAGTCTAAACCAGGACTAAACCAGGACTAAACCAGGTCTAAACCAGGTCTAAACCAGGTCTAAACCAGGTCTAAACCAGGACTAAACCAGGACTAAAACCAGGTCTAAACCAGGTCTAAACCAGGGTCTAAACCAGGGACTAAACCAGGACTAAACCAGGACTAAACCAGGTCTAAACCAGGTCTAAACCAGGTCTAAACCAGGACTAAACCAGGTCTAAACCAGGTCTAAACCAGGACTAAACCAGGACTAAACCCTAAACCAGGTCTAAACCAGGTCTAAACCAGGACTAAACCAGGACTAAAACCAGGACTAAACCAGGTCTAAAACCAGGACTAAACCAGGTCTAAACCAGGACTAAAACCAGGTCTAAACCAGGACTAAACCAGGTCTAAACCAGGTCTAAACCAGGTCTAAACCAGGTCTAAAACCAGGACTAAACCAGGACTAAACCAGGACTAAACCAGGACTAAAACCAGGTCTAAACCAGGACTAAACCAGGACTAAAAAACCAGGACTAAACCAGGACTAAACCAGGTCTAAACCAGGTCTAAACCAGGTCTAAACCAGGTCTAAACCAGGTCTAAACCAGGACTAAACCAGGACTAAACCAGGACTAAACCAGGGACTAAACCAGGTCTAAACCAGGACTAAACCAGGTCTAAACCAGGACTAAACCAGGACCCTAAACCAGGTCTAAACCAGGACTAAACCAGGACTAAAACCAGGACTAAACCAGGACTAAACCAGGTCTAAAACCAGGTCTAAACCAGGTCTAAACCAGGTCTAAAACCAGGTCTAAACCAGGACTAAACCAGGACTAAAACCAGGTCTAAACCAGGTCTAAACCAGGTCTAAAACCAGGTCTAAACCAGGACTAAACCAGGACTAAACCAGGTCTAAACCAGGTCTAAACCAGGGTCTAAACCAGGTCTAAACCAGGACTAAACCACTAAACCAGGACTAAACCAGGTCTAAACCAGGTCTAAACCAGGTCTAAACCAGGACTAAAACCAGGTCTAAACCAGGTCTAAACCAGGGACTAAACCAGGACTAAAACTAAACCAGGACTAAACCAGGTCTAAACCAGGACTAAACCAGGACTAAACCAGGACTAAAACTAAACCAGGTCTAAACCAGGTCTAAAACCAGGTCTAAACCAGGACTAAACCAGGGACTAAACCAGGACTAAACCAGGTCTAAACCAGGTCTAAACCAGGTCTAAACCAGGACTAAACCAGGACTAAAAATAAACCAGGTCTAAACCAGGTCTAAACCAGGTCTAAACCAGGACTAAACCAGGACTAAACCAGGTCTAAACCAGGTCTAAACCAGGACTAAACCAGGACTAAACCAGGACTAAAACTAAACCAGGTCTAAAACCAGGTCTAAACCAGGTCTAAACCAGGGTCTAAACCAGGTCTAAACCAGGACTAAACCAGGACTAAAACCAGGTCTAAAACCAGGACTAAACCAGGACTAAACTAGGTCTAAACCAGGTCTAAACCAGGTCTAAACCCTAAACCAGGACTAAACCAGGACTAAACCAGGTCTAAACCAGGTCTAAACCAGGTCTAAACCAGGGACTAAACCAGGACTAAAACTAAACCAGGTCTAAACCAGGACTAAACCAGGTCTAAACCAGGACTAAACCAGGTCTAAACCAGGTCTAAACCAGGTCTAAACCAGGACTAAACCAGGACTAAACCAGGTCTAAACCAGGTCTAAACCAGGACTAAACCAGGACTAAACCAGGACTAAATCCAGGTCTAAACTATGTCTCAAACAGGATTTAACAGGAGTAAATCAGGCTGTGTGGACTGTGTCTCCTCGTCTTCTGTCAATAATATTTTTAATTTGGTTCAGTAAAGTCTCATCTTTTTATTTTCTTTTAGCAGACAAAATTTCTTATGTGAAGATATCCGAGTCTTTGCTACTTTACAGCAAACCAAGTAATCCAAAGTATTCAGATTACGTTACTCACTTTAAGTAACTTAATGGATTCTGTTACAAACTACATTTTGGGGTGTGTAATCTGTAATCTGTAGGGGATTACATTTTAAAAGTCACCTTCCCAACACTGATTGGAGATAAATAAAAGTAATACTGATTGTGGTAATTGTCCTGCTTAAATTATAAAACAGTCGAAAGTAAGTTATAGTTGGTGTAGTTGTTGTTAAGCCACAAAAAACATACCAAGATATACAAGTGCAAAACAAGTACAAATGTAAAGTAAACAGAAAATGACTAAACCTGGAACTAAAACTAGATCATGACTAGAACTGGACCAAACCCTAATCTATTAATGGTAAACAAGAAGGTATTAACTTTAAGACACCACCATTTAATAATGAGGCCAAGGAAATGTTGACCTATTTTGTGTCATTTATCATCTCAGTGACATGGCCTGGTAAAGTTAATCAACCAAAACAATAATTTAGATGGTTACAATAATAATCATTTTAAGGTGTGATTAAGGGTGCAATTATTTCTAATTGCTTAAGCCATGGTTATTATTTCCAAAAAGCAACAAATGCCTATTCAGGATAAATTTTATTTAAGCTACATTAATTTACTCACGCACAAAGCCAGATTCTACAGAATTCTACGGCAACTGCTTCCAAAGAGCACGAGTCTGTCCAGTGCCAGCAAACCTATCACCCTGTCACATAATGCATTGGATATACACTGCTCAAAATAGGGACACTTTTATAAAACATCAGATCTCAATGAGAAAAAAATATATGTTGGATATGTATACAAATCTGGACAGGGCAAGGTCTTAGGAACAAAATGTCACCTCTTTTAATGGAAATGAACAACAGATGCACTAGAGTGGTATCAAAGACACAACCTTTAAAGCAGGACTGGTTTTGCACGTGAACATCATTTCAAGTTTCTCCCTCTTAGTGCTTTTTTGTCTGGTTTTCCTCTAGTGCTGCTTTGGCTACAGTGATTATCACTACTGGGAGTATTTGGCCATTCCGTAAACCTAGAGACATCACACAGATTTTACAGCTTCTCTCGAATGGCACATATGGATGTGCCATTAAAAGAAGATTTAATGTCTCCAAGCACAATCTCCAGAACATGGAGGAGGAGACAGGCACTTACTCTAGAAGAGCTGGACAGGGCTGTAGAAGGCCCTCCACCCACCAGCAGGACCCTTATCTGCTCCTTTGTGCAGGAGGAACAGGTTGAGTTCTGTCCGTGTCCTACAGAAGGACCTCCAGCAGGACACTGGTGTGAATGTCTCTGCCTCAACAATCACAAACACACTTCATGAGGGGGGTTTGAGGGAGTCATGTTCTGCAGTGGGCCCTGTGCTCACTGCCCAGCACCATAGAGCTCCATTGGCATTTGACACCAGAATTGGCAAGACCTTCCCCGGTGCCCTGATCTTTTCACAGATGAGAGCAGGTTCAGTCTGAGCTCCTGTGACAGATGTGAAAGAGTCTGGAGAAGACGGGAGAACACTCTGCTGCCTGCACCTGTGCACCATGGTTCAGCAGGAGCGGGTTGGTGGTGGGTTTGTGATGGTCTGAGGAGGCAGATCCATGGAGGGGCGCACAGATCTCCAGAAAACAACAGTCTGGCTGCTATTAGGTATCAGGATGAAATCTTTGAACCCACTGTCAGATACAGCAGGCCCTGGGTTCCTCCAGCCTTATGTGGAGTATGCAGGCAGAACCCAGAGGTTCATCCTCCTCCACTTGATTGATAGAATTGAATGGCCCTCATGATCCCCTGATTTAAACCTGATAGAACACCTCTGGGACATTATGTTTGGGTCCATCAGATGCCTCCACAGGAGATCAGTGATGCTCTTACACAGATCTGGGAGGACATCCCACAAGATCTCCGTCATCTCATTAGGAGCGGCCATGACTTTGTCAAACATGCAGACAAGCATGTGGAGGCCACACAAGAGACTGAGAAGCATTTTGTAGTCTGTAGGCTGAAAATGTTATTTCCATTAAAAGAGATGGCATCCTTTTGTTCCTAAGATGTTACCTTGTCCATATTTGTATAGTTAGCCAGCATTTTTTTTTTCATATTGAGCTCTAATGTGTTTTCAAAGTGTTCCTTTGATTTTTTTTGCAGAGTATATATGCTCCCTTTCATAAAACCAACACTCACACCAGATTCAGACAGTCAAAGCCAGTGGAAAAGGTCATTCAGGTGGAAATAGACAGTACCATGTGAATAAGACTGTGTAAAACTGTGAAACTCCTCAGAAAACCACAAGCTTGAAATGTTTCAAAATTTCCATAATCAGGTTTGATTTTTGTATTTTTTTTTATCTGTTCAATAATGCAGTACATTAGGAGGACACACAATGTACTGCACCTTTCCACGCATATCCAGTTGCTGAGTTTCAAGTGATATCACAAGATTCTGTAGACATGACAATGAATCAGGTCAAGGTGTGACCAGTCCTCCTTTTCAAAGCCTGATCTCATCAGATCTCAAAAACTAAGCTGGGCCGGGCCTGGTTAGTATTTGTATGGGAGACTTCTGGGGAAATCAGGTGGGACAGTGGGGCACCATTTAAAAAAACAAACAAAAAAAACTTGTTTTGTCTTTTGTGACTGATGGTGGTGGTTGGAGGAGCCAATAGTGCAGATCGGCAGCCTTGCTTTCATGAGTGTACTTCCTGATCACATTCATTGTTATTAAGTATTATCTTCTTTAATGGTTAAGTAAACTTTCAAGCACGTCATACAAAGGAGGTGCTCACAATTAACAACAATTTACTATTGTTATAACAGAGGTGTAACTCTAATGATTCATTTAGTAATTATAACTTCTGTAATAACTGATAAATACTATCTCATGCGATGTGGGTGTTGCCTGGATGCTAAGAAAACTCCCTCATTTTGAGAGTATAAAAATCAGGTCAATACCTTCTACTGAGCAGAAAAGGAAGCAGCAGAGAATTGTACAAACCTTAAAGCAATAATTTCTCAAAAACTTGTCATTTCTGGTGAAGCTTCTATCAACTATCAAAATGAAGACACTGGTAAGAAACTTACTTTCTAGACATTCCTGCTGTGCTGCTGCATCCACTCATGTCTGTTGTGTTTTTGTTCTTCCCAATAGTTACTCACAGTCGTAGTTGCTGCTCTTCTACTACGTAAGTTTAAAATGTGCTGCTCTCACTTTCATGTTATTATGTGGGAAATTGGTTAATTCAACATTTTCAAATAAGAATGATAAAAATGTTACCACCATATTATGTAACATTACAGACAATCAAAATGTACTAAATGTATTTCTTTTCCCATTTAGAAACATACCACCAAGTTGCTGCTGATGAGGCTGAGGGCAGTGGTATGTATGAAGAACAACTCTTTAAAGTGGAAGGTAGTGGTGCAGAGGAGAAAAATGATGACACTCTGGACAGTGGGGGCAGCGATGGTACTGATGATGTGATCAGTAATGAGGACAAGACTGGTGAAGAAGATGACACGCCTGAAGAAGAGAAGAACAGTGGTGATGAAGATAAAGATGATGGTGATAATGACAGTGATACAAGCACTGGCAGTGAGGAGGGCAATGGTTCACCTGAGATCACTGAGGAAAATAAATCCAGTACTAGTGGTAGTGGTGGCAGCGGAGGCAGCAGTGGCAGCGGAGGCAGCAGTGGCGGCAGCGGCGGCAGTGGCGGCAGTGGAGGCAGCGGAGGCAGCGGCGGCAGTGGAGGCAGCGGTGGCGGCAGTGGAGGCAGTGGAGGCAGTGGAGGCAGCGGTGGCAGTAAAGGAAGCAATTCAACCCATAAGCACCACCACACTAAGTGCTCGCAAGGTGAGTCATGTGAGAATAATGAGAACATGTTTCATGGGCATTGCATTTTTATATGTATGCTTGGATGGTGTTCATCTAAATTAGAACACTGTATGTAAAAGGTGTTTAAACAGACAGACTCATGAGCTAAACTGTGTATTGCAGAATGTTGGACTCCTTGGTTTGACAGAGATGATCCCACTGCATCAGGAGACTGGGAGACCCTAGAAAATCTTTACCACGAATTCCCTGGGATGATCTGCCACAAGCCTCTTGCTATTCAGGTCAACACTACATGTGGAAAGAGTGTATCTTCAACAGGGAACATCATTGCAGTGTAAGGGTTTAATCACACAGCAATTTTGTTGAATGAGTTGTGTTTTCATTTCTTTTAAATCACTGAATTGTCTTCAACAGGTCAGACACAATCAATGGATTTGTCTGTAAAAACTCTGACCAAATAGAGTCAGATTGCAGAGATTATATGGTGCGTTTCCGCTGCCCTCACGAGTTTTGTCATCCCAAAGGTATGTACATGAATAACTTCAACTGTCTTTTGGTCTGTAACTATACAATACTGTTGTTGTTTTATTATTATATACTTTTTCTTCTTGTGCCAGTGTGCTGGACCAAGTGGTTTAGCACAGACAAGCCCAGTGGCACTGGAGACTTGGAACTGCTGTGTGAACTGAGAGCTAAACATCCTGGACAAATCTGTCAACGGCCACTTCACATTGAAATTCAGAACAAGCTCAACGATCCACCTGCTGTCTTCATTGGACAAAGATTGTAGGTTCATCTTCATTTATAACACTTCTCTGTCCACTAATGAAAACTAAGTAACTGTTTTTTTTTTTCTACAATTTCAGCAACAGCCCCCCTGAAACTTGTGCTTGCCACAAATGTGGCCAGTGTGAAAATCGCCACAATGAATACAAGGTCCGCTTCGGTTGTCCATGTAAGGTTTAGACATTTCCCTGCATCTACAGCCACAAACAAACAAGCAAAAATCCTTACAGGTGATCAGCAAATCAGTAGCATTTCTTCATGATTCTATGATTCTTCTTTACCCAGTTTTGTAATAAATAACTGACATTTGTATTGAAGGAGTTTTAAATGTGTTAATAATCATATTTAACATGTATTTTTGGGTCAATAATAAACTGCAATAATTTATTAAGAATTGTTCCTAATTTATTTTCTGTTAAATTATATTGTAAAAAACCTTTAAACAATAAACAGAGATCATGATTATAACTTGTTATTGATGTTTTATATATATTTGTATAAAAAGTGGAATTGTGTTTAGATAAAACTGTAATGAATTATGCCACATTTGCCCAAAAGTTCATAAAATTATCTTCATCAATAAAGACAGTGCCAAAACCACACTGAGAAAGAAAGTGTAGTATTTTCCAAACATAAACATTATTTTCATTTAGAAAACTTGAAATAGTAATATCAAGGAGTCCAAAAGCACGATGTACAACCCACATCTGAGCCCTGTATTTGAGGCCACATTTATTACAGCTTTTCTAAAGGAGTTTTAGAAAAGGGCATTTAAACATACAGAGCATTATATCAAAAATGGAAACAGACTGAGCATTTGTTAACAGACTCCCTGCCATCTTTAAGGTCTGTGAGAAAGTTGTAGCTGAGTAGCTCACTCAACACCTTGATGCAAATGATTTATTAAATAGCAGTTTGGTTTCAGGAAGTATTATTACACTGAAACAGCCTGCTGCTACTGCCTTAAAGAAATTAAATCTCATGTAGACCAGGGTGGAGTAGTTGGAGGTGTCCTCCTTGACCTGCACAGGGCGTTTAACACTGTAAACCGCAATATTCTTCTCAGTAAAATAGGACATTTTGGATTGTCACAATCTGCAAAAGACGGGTTTGTGTCGTACCTGAGGGGGAGACAGCCAGTGTTGGGAAGGTGACTTTTAAAATGTATTCCCTACAGATTACAGATTACATACCCCAAAATGTAGTTTGTAATGTAATCTATTAAATTACTTAAAATCAGTGATGTAATCTGAATACTTTGGATTACTTGATATTGTCATGCTTTTTTAAAATTACATGAATGAAGCAACCACATCCTGAAAATTCATGTTTTTTCTCTTCAAATTGTCTGTTGAGCCCAAATCTCCATGAGTAGGTAATTGTTTGCTGAAAAGTAGCAAAGACTAAGATATCTATAGATATCTATAACATAAGATCTTAACATAAGTCTTTACTTAACCGTATTAAAAATATTATTGATAGAGAAATGCTTTATATATGAGATCACTGCTGCCTTAAATTATGTCCACTCTACTGTTAGGTGTCATATTGTTTAGTCCTGGTTTAGATCTGGTTTACTCCTGGTTTAGTCCTAGTTTAGACCTGGTTTAGTCCTGGTTTAGTCCTGGTTTAGTCCTGGTTTAGTCCTGGTTTAGACCTGGTTTAGTCCTGGTTTAGTCCTGGTTTAATCCTGGTTTAGTCCTGGTTTAGACCTGGTTTAGTCCTGGTTTAGTCCTAGTTTTAGGCCGTGTCCACGCGTACTAGAGAAAATGCAGTCCACACGCGCCGCACGGGAGGACGGTGGTGTCCATGTGGGACGGAATGAGACGTGGTCCACGCATTCTTGGGTTGATGACAATGATGAAGATGCGTGTTTGTGGATGTCTGTGTGAGCATCCAGTAGTGCAGACAGTAGTGCAGATATCATGAGCCTATGCAGGTTGCTTTCATCATTGCCAATTGCTCCAGTTTGGCATTTAACTTGTAGGCGATTTTATATTTGTTATATTTTTATATCTCACGTCGGGAGAAGTGGGTGGTCGGCGTACCCCCGTGTACCGCGCCCACTACACGCCCGTCCCTCTCTTCTTTAAATACAAAGTGATGTCTGAATGTTCTTGACACAAATGTGTTTTTGCCTGTGCACTGCTGGCTCTGTTCTACTGGCTCCTCAACCTCATCCATTGTGTGATTGACACCACCAACGTTAACAAGACGTTTACAGAACTCTAACTGCACGCGTTCTGTTTGGGTTTCTGGCAACAAGTGGAATTACCGAGAAAAAAAAAAAGGCAGATATAGCCCAGAATGTGAAAACAGGAAAATACCTTAGTGTAATCCATTTATTTCAACAAAGTAACCAATTACCACTCATTGAAACAGCAACTGTAACTGAATACAGTTACTCATAATTTGTACTCTGATTACGTAACACTGGTACATGTAATCCATTACTCCCCAACACTGGAGACAACAATGTGTGAGAGCAAACAACACCTTATCCTCTCTCCAAAGCTGCACAGTGGGGGTGCCGCAGGGCTCTATCCTCGGGTCTCTGCTTTTTAGTCTATACGTAAATGACCCCCCGTCGTGTGTGTGATGTCAAGATAATTATGTACACTGACGACATTCTCGTATACACCCATGGAAAAAATATAAGTGAGGTAGCAAAGAGACAAACAACTGAAATGAGAAAGGTGGCAGCCTGGCTGTCGTTAAATGTAAATGAGGCTGTTGCCATGTATTTTACAAACAGGCACATTCAACAATTTGCCCAGATATTTTCATAAATGATGAGATAATTAAAATTGTAACTGGACTGTGTGACCTTAGATGCAACTTTACAATTCAATTCAACAAGTTTATTATCAATTTTCATATGAAACATATGAAGAATTGAAACCGTGTTCCTCACTCCCATTCTTCTAAAATAATAATAATAATAATAATAATAATAATAATAATAATAATAAATGGAAAAGTCCATGTGTTCTTCTTTGAAGAGACACACATTCCTGCTTCCTGGCCGCTGTTACGATCCGGCTTGCTTGGGGTCAAGGATGTAACAAAAAAAAAAACAAGGTGTTAAATGCAATAAATTAAATAATGTTTAATTAACAGGGTTGTAAAAGGTAAATTAACAAAACAGACTAAAATGCAGAAAATAAACTAAACTAAGAAACAGAACAACGGAATTAACAGATTAGTTTTTTACCACGTCGGCTTTCACAAAAACAAATGGTTAACTAAGGGACACACACAAAACTAAAACACAAACAAAATAAAACCACATAAATCCACAAACAGAATCGAGTGACCAAATAAAAGAAGGCACAAAACAGGACAAAACTACAGAACTAGACACACACAAACACAAACACAAGATGACAGACTGGTCACCAAGGTCAGCAGCCCCGAACAGGTGCTGGTAATCTCCTTAAATAAGGGGGAGAAGGCTGAAGGTGTGGCAGGATTGGCCAGGTGTAGGTGAGGAGGATGGTGTATATGTGGGTGAGGAGGGTGGTGTATATGTGGGTGAGGAGGGTGGTGTATATGTGGGTGAGGAGGGTGGTGTATATGTGTGTGGTGAGGAGGGTGGTGTATATGTGGGTGAGGAGGGTGGTGTATATGTGTCGTTGCTGTAGTGTAGGTGGTCAGTGCTGTAGGTGGTCGGTGCTGTAGGTGGTCGGTGCTTTAGGTGGTCGGTGCTTTAGGTGGTCGGTGTTGTAGGTTGTTGGTGAAACAATCAATGAATGAAATGAATGAATGAATGAAAACATTTTGAGTAACACGCTCATCCTCCAGAGGAGAGTGCACTGTCTCCAAATTTAAGTCTGCGCTCACCTAATCCTCTCTTTTCTCTGTCACTGAGTCATTGGAATAATTTGCCAACAGTGATTCTAACGTGCACAGGTTTTCAAATGTTTGCACGTCTGACAAAGAAGTGGCTGATCTCTAAACAAGTTTGTACGTTTGAATCATCAGTAGAATGTAGAATGTGCGTGTGTGCAAATGTTGGGCCTTGACAGAGGGAGGAAGAGACTTAGGGTGCACTCACACTAGGACTTTAGAACCGTGCCCAAGCTCAGATTGCCCCTAAAGCGCGGTACGTTTGTCCAGTGTGAGCGCAATCGAATCGTGTCCAGGCACGCTGGGACAGGCGGTTGGGACTTTGGTCACACATGGTCACATTTTTCTATAGCGCTTTTCCACCTTCAAGGCACTCAAAGCACTTTACAACAAGGAACCACTCACCCATTCACACACCAGTGTATGCAGACACTGTGGGCAAGGTGGGTTAAGTGTCTTGCCCAAGGACATAACAACAGCATTCATCAGTGGGAGCTGGAATCACACCGCCAACCTTCAGATCAGTGGGCAAATGCTCTACTAACTGAGCTACTGCTGCCCTTTGACCTTTTTGGAGGAGGTGGGCCAAAGCATGACACGGTTGCTCATGTTCACACGCACAGCTTTACTATACGAGCTCTGTCAGGTGCACTGATGTTACTCATACGAGGAAAACAGTGAATAAAGTCTGTTCCAAAACACAGAGTGAATCCACGCTCACCTTCAGTAAAAAGTGAGACAGACAGAAGTTTCACTGCCTCTCGTCTCCAGCTGTCCTCACTGCTCCACACTTTTGTTATATCAATAAACTCACGGAGGAGCGTGTATCATAAAAGGACGCATATCAGCCTCACTATTTAATAGATATCTCTGCCACTGGATTTTTTTTTCTCCACTAAAAGCGTTAGCACATGTAAACAATTAGCGCCGTGTGATGACGTCATTGGGTTGTGGCACGGTTCAGATGTGTGTAAACAAGGAAAAATGTACTTTTGTTTTTATTTTGAATTTCACAAAATCCTTCTCTTCAGTTACATTTCTATCGCTATTTCATGGTTTTAAGCAGGTTTTAGCTTATTTCCCAATGTTATTATTCTGTTAGGAAGAGTTGCACATTTTGCCTGTACTGTCCCTTTAAGAGCAACGTGGTTCATGTGATGAGCAGCGCCTCTATCAGTCTGTGCAGTGCTACTGAGGAGGTGAGCACAAGTTTTTTTTTTATGTCAATGTATTATTTTATTCTGGTATTTAGGCACTAAAATATATATATAAAAGTTCATAGTAAAACATAATTACTGATCATTTACAAATCCACATGTATAATTTGAATCATGTAGGAGAGCTTTCATGTCTGTATTGTTCAAGTTTACTGTAATCACATGTGGTTGAGAGCTAGCTTCAGTGTTCTCCATGTGTTTTCCTGCTAACGGGACAGATGAGCTGCGTACATGGAGAAACGTGACAAGGATTTGTATTTGTCTTTCATTTGTGCAGAACCACCAGTAAATGAGTATCCAGTGGTCACCAGTGTCTCATGGTCCTTCCTTCCACCGGCGCAGTACTCAAGAACACAACGCAGACATAAACTAAGGATTATCGGATGTGCACCAAGACAGTAGACTCTTAATGAACAGACGCACACCCAATACATGTGCAAGTGTGAGTGCGACCATAGAACCCTACACGATTCTAAAGTCCTACTGTGAGTGCGTCCTCAGAGTGCATGTGGTTGCATGTCTGGTGTATGTTGTTT